GGTCGTGGGCGGCCGGGCGGGTCAGGCCGGACAGCCGTCTGCTCGCCCAGGGAGGGCAGGGCCCGCCGCGTCTGGCTTCGAGAGGTTCGCCTCGGGGTTCTTCAATAAACCTTCAAAACGCCTTTCAATAGGCCTTAACTTACGCTGTTGAAGGTTTGTTTTGTTTTGTTTTAATTCTAATTCATTAGCCGTTGTATAAAGGAGCCCAGCTTATGAATTCTATACCTGGCAAATCCTTGTCTTCAGGCTTAATTAATATGATTATATGGCTCATGTGATCCTAAATTTTCAAGTCTCAGAACTTCGTGCTTCATATAGTAAAACTGGTTGTAGAAGAAGTGGCACTAAACTACTTGCATTTAAGTATTGCTATGTCTTTTAAAAAAATTCTTTTATGCTAAGCACTAAATAAACGTTTAGTAGCCAGATCCTTCTACCAGAAGAGTTCGGTGTTAATCTGCTTTCAGACTTCTAAATGGATTTCATCACTTCAGCTCACAAACTGTGGTCTCTCTGGATCTGAGCTACTCTCCCAGTCCTAATTATGTAGACAGCTCAGAGTTATTTTAGTCCTTCCAAAAGCTATTGTAATCCAAAGCCTGTGTGAAATCACGCTGTCCCAATTGGTCTGCGAAGGACTTCTCACTCTTTGAGGATATTGTGGTCTGAGGCAAGTCCAGCTTGTGCAGCTTGTACTTTTCTTGCCTGTATTTGGAATTTTTACTGGTTTAGCTTGTCGAAAGCTAAATCCCAGCTGTGTGTTTAATCTTTGGTTTTGATTAAAATTAGCAAATCCTTAATAAAGGAGAAGAAAAATCAGCTCATTACAGGAGATTTGGAAAACAAATAGCCTTCAAAAGCAGTTTTCTGTTCACTCATCAGTATTTTTTATGCATTTTACAGTAGGTGACAGAGTACGCATTTTGTCTCTGGTGCAAACAAACAGATGAGTATAAAAAGCTTTTTTCTGAGAACATAACCTAAATTATGCAATAATTTAGGTTAGAAAGGACTGGAAGTCATCCGGTCCAGCTTTCTGCTCAGAGCAGGTCCCAGTCAAAAATGAATGAGGTTGCTGAGCACCTTTTCCAGTTGGGTTCCAAAAATGTCTGACAGTGGAGTCTCCTTGGTCTGCCAGTGCAACTGTTCCAGCACATAAACCCTTGAACTGGGAGAATGTTTCCTCTTAGATCCAGCTGCGATTTCTCTTGCATTTTGTAGTTGTCACCTCTTATCCTTTCATTGTGCTCTGAGGGGAACCTGTCTCCTGTGTAGTAACCCTTTAGGACAGCACTTAGATCCCCTTTCCTTAGTCTTTCCCCTCCTGATCCCTCTGCCCCGCACACCCTGGTCTAAGCAAACTCAGCTCCCTCAGCTTCTCACACACGATCTGCTGCAGCTACCAGGTGTGGTAGTCTGCCTTGGGCTTTATCCATTTCATGTACATCTCTCTTGTACTGGTGTGTCTACAGCAAGAGGATATTGTGGCCTGTGGATACATCTGATGTGGCCTCATGATCACAGGGTGGAGGGGATTTACCACTGCAATTAGCCGTGCTTGTCACAGCGTGCTGCTGAGCTTCACGTGTGCCCACTCCTTACAAGAGTGTACCTTGAGTACTTAGTTGCTCTCACCTGTTATGTCAAATGTAGCTTTATTTTTTTTTTTTTTTTTTTTAGAGTTCTTGCTCTGAAATGGACATCTTCCAACAATTACTCTGGATGCAGTAGTCAATCTCATTGATGTGAATAAAACACATTTATAGCAAAATTTACCCTTTACTAGCTTGGTCTAAAGTATCTTTTATCAGTGCCATCCTTTTCATTTTTTTCAGCTGTTCCCAGTATACAAATCATGTATTTGCTGTCTGTTATCTGAAAATTTAATGCTATTTCTAGACTAGCCAAGGAAAAGAGAACTGCCTTTGAGCAAAATTTGCTGGGGGGACTTGTCTCTTTTGTATATACAAAAAACATAGCAAAAAGTCTTTAGAATAGTGTGTATGTGTGTGATTTAAAGGATTTAAAAAAATCTGTAAATACCATTTATCTAAGAACTGTTACTGGCAGCAAAGCCGATTTGCGGCACCTAACGCCCACTTTAGTAGCCAAGCAACCCAGCTGTCTGGCCTAGTTAAGCCTCCAGTGGTCTGTCTGTCTCAAAAGTCTTTCTTCTAAGCTATGGTTTAGAAATGAAATGTTTTCAGCAGTTGTATAATTTCAACTGCTACGCTAGTTTGTAACCACAAGTATTCTTTATAACTGGTAACTTTTCTACCCTCTTTTATGTTGCTATCTATTAACCAAAAATGCCTGTGCTGATTTTATTTTGGGTGGGGGACTGTAGGTATCATTCAGCGTTCACAAAGGAATTGTCTGTTTCAAGTGTTATTTTAAGCTGGGAGGACAAGCTGGGCAAAGATTGAATAGGGAAGGTAGTGATCTGTGCAATTATGCTGAGTTTCTTTTTGGTGAAAGTGTTATCTACAGTGGTATCTTCCCTATAGAAATCAATTACACTTAATTTCTTTGTTCTTGTGTAGGAATGAGCTTTCAGTAGACAAAACTAAAAAGAAGAAAAGAAGAGAATTGACTGAGGAACAGAAACAAGAAATTAAAGATGCCTTTGAGCTGTTTGATACAGACAAAGATAGAGCAATAAATTATCATGAGTTGAAGGTAAAAGTTTTTTTATTTAAACAATTTTATGACAGATAATATCTATCTGTTTCTTAGTGAGTTTTTAAGATGTTGGCTGTGTCTTTAGAAATGCTCTATGTTTAAGATCTCTTGCTGGGTTAAAGGAGTGAGGGTATTTGGCCGGGGTTGGGAGGGGAAGGACGTACTGCACTGGTGTGAGAATGAGCTTTTCTTCCCACTCTATACACTTGACACAGTAGCAGAATTGCTGTAGCATCCTGCACAACACTGGTCTGAATGCTTAGCTTGGGCAGATGACTAAGTGGGAAAACGTCTTGGAAAGCTGTTTGATTCTGTTTAAAAGCATTGTATAATCTAAAGCTTGGTGTTGTGAAAATCCAGATGTTTCAGGTACTTAGGTAAAAGATATAAATCAAACTTGTAAAACTGTTGAATACATGTCAGAGTTTACCCACTTGCATTTTCCAACACGGAGCCTATGGATTGTAGGAGTGAGGTATGCTATTTGTTGTGCATATGGGAGGCTCAGTAGTTTTGCTTCCCAACAAAGGCTTCTTCTGTTGGTAGCTCTTGGTAAATGGAGGTTAGCATGGCAGTCTTTCCTAGTGAGTCCTCCCATCTGGAAGTCTCTAGAAGTAGTACATGAAGTTTATTAAAATCATTAAAGATTTAAGGAGACTTTATATTTTAATTACTGCATTGAGAACAAAAAGTGGCTTTGAAGAGGCCAGTATTTCTGTCACATTTTGAGTGAGATTCTTTTGGGAAGGAAGACCTAATCCAACCTGCTGGCTCCACATTCTGGCTCTACCAAGTAACCGAGAAGGAAAAAAATAATCTTATTTTTACTTTAATTGCTGTTACAGGAATGTCTTAGGCGTAGCAATTCCCCTCTCTTTATTTCAGAGTTCAGGCAATTTATCTTTCCTGGAAGCCACAGTGAGTAGAGTAGTACTGGGCACTGTTTTGGGACTTAAGATGCTTTTTCCAGTTATGGTATGCTTTGAATTCCCAGCTGTCGTGATTATGTGTAGAGCTGTTTCTTAGCTGTCTAATTAAGTATTGTGGCACTGAAAATAATACTATGGAAGAACAGAAATATATAAAGAACTATCTCCTCCTCTACAAAATTAGCATATAGCGTAGATTTTTTTTTTTGAATGGCTACATCCAATAGGATTGTGATTTTCCACTTCTGGTTTAGTGTGTGTTCATCAATGTGGAGGAAGTCAAGGTAGTGTGTGCTGAGAAACTGCCAACTGAAATGGGAAACTAAACATGCACTCCTAACCTAATGGAAAAATAAAAAATGGTTTAGTTCACTGGAAAAGCAGTAAAGTCACTTATAACAGGACTTGCAAACCTGTCAACATATATGCATTTGGTATGGATACTTAAGAAAAATAATTTGAAGAATGATTTTCAGCTTTATCTTTGTAAAAGGGTCAGTACTTGCAGTGTTTTTGGAAGTGAGGAAAATTAATCAACTTGTTCTAAGAAGTATTTGGTCCAGTCTGTAAAATCACTGAACATGCAGAGGCTAGTTTTTTCACTCTAACTTGATGTTCCATTTGCTAATAGTAATTTTAGGTGATTTCTGTATCCAAAGCTTTTTTTCCTTTTCTTAATTTTATTTATTATTGTTGCTAAGCCATTGATATACATCTTTTCTCTTGGGTAAGAAGGTAATTACTGAAAATAAGAACAAATCTGCTAAATCAGTGTTTTGATCTTCATGTATGGTTGCACTTCCATTTTATTCCAAAAGGTGGCAATGAGAGCCTTGGGTTTTGATGTGAAAAAAGCTGATGTACTGAAAATACTTAAAGATTATGATCGAGAAGCAACAGGCAAGATCACCTTTGAAGATTTTAATGAAGTTGGTATGTGTTTGATTGTATACCCTTAGAGAAATTTAGCTTATAGTAGTAACTACAATTTGGAAGCAGTACCATGTGTACTTTTTCATTTGCCTAGTACTATTAAGAAATAGAACTGGGAGATTTAATTTCATATTTTTCTTAATAGAAGTCAATAGTGGAGGAAAATAAATCTTTGTATCTTGAATATTCAGTTTGATATGTAGAGATGAATGATAGCCACAATATAAAAGGACATAGAGTATACACAGTCCTAATTGTTTTCAAACTTACACAAAGGAATAAGTGCTAACTTAAAATGTAGATATTCTTGTGTTTATGGATTTTGTAAGATTCTTCTTCCTGCTGTGAGTAAAGTATTTGGCATTGAATTTCAAGGAGGAGTGTATACTCAGATAAACTGTAAACTGAACGCAGACTTCTTATGTAACAAAGATCAATATTGTACTTCAAGGATTTTCAACTGTTGATAACAACAGTGGAATTTCATTAGGCTGTTTCTTTCATCTGCAGATTTCGTATTGCGCAGTTGACATACTTTCAGTATATAGTGATCTGCAGAATTTTTAAAGATTAAGTTTCTTTGCAGATTTTTTTGATTGTTACACATAATTTATACTTTTGCATACAGTTTGCATTTACAAAGAAAATAAGCTGTGTGGGATTTTTCCATGTATGGCTTTATATCTCTCTTTTATTATTCCAGTCCATATATTCAAGGTATTAGACCTCTCTAAATTTTCGAGGGGTGGGTAAACCAACCCAAAAATAGTACCAATATAGCTATGAGTAAGTCCTGTGAGAAGCTAGGAATATTCTTGCACAGTGTATACCTATATACTTGGAAGGTGATTGAACCCAAAACTTGAATCGGATTTGAGTGGTGCTGTGATGCAATATGACCTTGAGACAGAATTAAACATGATAGCACTTCTAGCAGAAAGATTAAGGAGTTAGAGAAAATAGGTTATAGAAACTTTAATTATGAAGAGTTGCAGAATACGGCTAAGCAATTCTCAAGCCACCAATTTCTCATAATTTTATGTTATTTATGGTTTTAAATGTAGGAATGGCCCATCTGAAATGTATAAAGATGCAATTAAATTTTGTCTTGTTTTGTACGATCATGTTACCTATAGTATTTAGACACTTAGTGTTTTTTTGTTCTTAAGCTAACATTGCAGTTGTCTTTTTGCTTCAAAAGGTAGAATTTTTCAAATTATGTAATACTGTCATGCAGTGTAGTTGTTTCAAATGAAAATATTTAAATTTAGTTATAAATTTGAAGGATTGTTGTAGACATCTAAACTTCATTGCTGTATTGAGCTTCTATGAGCTTGAATCTAATTTTTTCCTGTTGAGTTCGCTAAGCCAGAGCAGGCGTTCCATCTGCAGATGACAGCAGATGCTAAGTGGTTTTCTATGCAGAAACAGGATTGATGTGTTTTTAATGGCTTGATGAAAGTCATAAATAGCAAGCCCTGTAATACAGGATTAGCAGGTACAAAGATGTGAAGATATTTACGGCTGGTTCTAGAAATGTCTGAAATAATTACTAGAAAAATATTTTATGTGGCAAGTTTGTCTCTTCTGTTACAGAAACTGACAAATGGTTGTGATAAAAGGAATAATAGACTGATGAATCCTTTCAGAATTAACATCTTGCAGTTCATAGCAGTGTCCTTTTCATGACCTCTGGGCTTAGGTTTTTTGGAGTTTTTGTTAATGTGGTTTCTGTATCCAAAAGAGGGGTTCCATGTGCATGTTTTTCATTACTAAGTGTTTCCAAGTGAAAATTCCATCCTCATCAAAACATATAAAATTAAAAAAAAAATAAATCACATGTCTGCATCTGTCAGAGCTGATGTTTTTTCTGAAAGGTAAGTTTGGAACAGAGTAGGCATGTGTATACTCTTAATTCCTATTGAATAGTGTGTTAAAAGTCTGACTGTCTAAATTGCCATGTAGCTTTCCATTGCAACACGTTTGTCCCAAAGAGAAACTCAGCTTGGGAAAAGAGAGATGAGAAAGAGAGATCAGATAACAGCCAAATAAGTATGCACGTTGAATTGGGAATACATAAAAATGAAAGAACAGGTGAAATCAGAAGTGTATGTTCTTCATACTGCCTCAGTCTGCTAAGGTTATTCTGAGTTTACCATTCAGAATTCTTTAGTCTAACTTAAGTGTCCTTCTTACAGTGACAGACTGGATATTGGACAGAGACCCACAAGAAGAAATACTCAAGGCATTCAAATTGTTCGATGATGATGACTCTGGTAAAATAAGTCTGAGAAACCTGCGTCGGGTTGCTAGAGAATTGGGTGAAAATATGTCTGATGAAGAACTACGGGCTATGATTGAAGAATTTGATAAGGATGGAGATGGAGAAAGTAAGTGATAGCAAACAAAACCCCATACAGTCTGGTCTTAATTTTCTCCCCTTTTCATCTGTAGTTTTGTTGTGAAAATGTCCTCTTTGGTTTCCTTCTAAATAACTTTCAGCTCAAACTTAATTTAGCTACAAATAATGGAAATTGTTGGTTTTGACAGCTACTAGTCCTGGAAACACATCTTGGAGTCTAAAAATCAAGTTGATTTTCTCAAGTTGATTCACGATTAACTCTCATTCAACCCATGTCTATTTAAAGATTGGTGAAAGAGTAGTTGAAGGTGAAGGTAATTGAACTGCTACATGGGAGTTACCATCTACATTACACTATTTTTTTCTTTCTAAATCAGAAAAAGGATTCAAGTGCTAAGAGAAAGTCTTTTGATCACCTAATCATTATCTCTTAAGTAGCAATGTGTCACTGTTGTGATCTCAGCGTGGCAATGTACAAGGTCCATACAGAATGGGCTGCAGAAGAGATTTATTACCTAGATAAAGAATGAATTAACAAATCCGGTTTCATACTATGCTTATTAAATCTTCATGAGCACTGAAATTTGGGGTTTTTTCATTAACTTGAAAACACCCTTATGTTAACACCATAAACCTTAATGCCTGAATTTCAGAGGCCACTCACTTGAGACTATGTAGATAAACACTGCATTTTTAACAGTCATCAAAACCTGCTTCAGAGTTTTTCTTTCAGGATGGTGACTCATGTCTGATTTTTCACTAGCACTTCATCAACTTTTCCAGTTACAATAGTATTTATACTTGTGAGCCACCACATCTGTTGGACTCAAAACTCTCACTACTAGCGAAAAAAAAAATTGTGTTCTCGTGAGCCTTGTGACAGACATCCCTCTTCTCTGTGTTGTTTGAGATAGGTGTTATATCACACTTAGGAATAAAGTTACATACTGAAACAACCCCTTTCCTTTCAAGAGGAAGAGCAGGACATTTTAAACATGGTCAGTGGTGTGGAAATGCAAACCTTTTGTTCTGTTGTAGTGGTGTAAGTAGGGTGCCTGGAGGAAACGATAGTGAAAGGTCAGTGATTCAACTGCCAGAAGTGTGTTAATGTTGACATCACTAGTATTAAAGTAAGTGTTAAGAAAAGTATGATATTTCCTTCCTTATGGAACTATTGTTTTCTGATACCTTTCTATGGTCTGAGGCCGTGGTTCCTTAATGAATCCATACCACATAATTCTGATGTTCTTCCACATTCATAGCTGTGTCTTCCCACCTGTTTCTTGCACTGGCAGTGTCTGATCTGACAGATGAGATGTTTAAGGGAGCTAAGCTAGAAGAAAGCTGCTCAGTTAGGTTTTTAAGTGTTATTTTCTTGCTGCTTAGATCCTTGAACTGTTCTCACTGCTTGATCAGATTTTCTTGGAGCTGCATCCCAAGAAAATAGGCTTTGGGTTTTTTTCCTAAAGGATAATTGAAGCAGGCCAGTATTGCAAAAGCTGCAAATGCTGTTTTCAGGCACCCTATCTGTCTGCAATGACATGCAGGACTGCAGCTGTGAATTCTCATATTTATTTCTTCTTCAGTAGCTGTATGGCCAGCAAGGAATGATGCCTGTTTTCTCAGTCCATCAGATTGATTGCTAATCTAGGTAGATACTTTAATTTTGAGCTTGTTTTGCTTTTAAAAGGAAGAGTTGTAAGGAGACTGCATTGCTAGCTTTACTTTTTTTCAGATTCATTTTACTTTTTTTTTCTTTTTTAAGGTGTAGCTCTGTAGGTGAACAAGAGTAGACGTCATCTGCAACCACATTTTGTTCTGTGTCACTCTCCTGGAGCTGCCAACTAATGATGTCAGAATCATGCATGGTTTTCTATCACGTGGCTATCTGGTCACTACAAGTTGAATGTAGACCATTAGCTTCTTTCAGTAAAGTTACTGAGTCATAATTATTTTGGGTCAGTGCTACATTTTTGAATTCAAATTGATCAGCTAAGAGTGGGTGGCTCAGTTTCCTCTTATTCATTCATCCGTTCATTCTCTTTGTTAGAGCAGTCAAGCACAAGATCGAATATAGAAGATTGACAGCATAATGTTTGTATATGGTGCTGTTTATCCTTAAGGTTTTGTGTGTTTTCTGTTCTTGAAAGAAAACTGATGCTGTTTCTAGCTTTTTAAGATTCATTCTGAAAAAGTAAATAATCCTGTGAATCACTGTTCCATTTAGCTTCAAACATCTGGGTCATGTAGCAGAATCTTGCTGTCATCTAATTCTCCCTCTTTTCCTGCCAAGAAAAAAAAATCTGAAACTGTTATTTGGTAGCATTTTTAATTAATACTTCAAATACAGGAATAATAACCACTTTTGGTTTAATACCCTTTTTACATCTGAGAGATTGTTTTGATCATAGTGAAATCAGGTCTGTTGTGTGATACCCAGGCTACTCGAACCCTTGTGTTTCCAGCGCAACCGCTGAGCTGTATTGGTACTCTGCACATAAGTTTCTGTAGAATAAAGTATTTTTGACATATTTCTGTCAGTCTTAATAAAGGTAATAGTCTTATTTTCATATTTCTGGTCTTAGGAATGACTTCTGTTTTGGAGTATGACTGTTTTTAGAAACTCCATGCTGTTAGTTCAGGCAGTTTTTGTTGTCTTGTGTGGATGCATCTGTAGGAAACGTCATCCAGTCTTAGGTCTCAGATTTTGGCAGAGATTTAGGAAAAAAAACCACAACCCTAACCCGCACTGAAATAATATGTTTCTTTAACTATAGAGTTCAAGACAACATTTTCTTTATATTAGCTGTGATACTAGTTCATTCTTTTATGATCACTTATGCCATAGAATTGAAGGCAATCTGATACTGGGAAAGACTATGCTTCTCATTTCATTGTGCTTAACTTGTGAACAGATCCTAAGTCCAAGGAGGATTAACTAGGATTAACTTGGTTACTGGAGGTCGTAACTACACTTCTCTCTGCAGTTTGTTTGAATGTTACAAAATTTGTTTGTTGTTATAATACTGTATTTCCACTTTGCAACATTGTTTAACAAAGGTGTTTTAAACCAGAGACTATTTTGGGGACCGTGTTTATATTTGTGCTGTTATTGTGATAAAGCTGTGGAAATGTTTTTTAAAGTCATGCAGACAACATAGTGCTTATGTGTAGTAGAACGCTATGTAGCTATATGATGGACTGATACTTCAGAGTATAGGGTCCTAAGCTAGGCTAAATCTACTTGTTTCATATATTTTTTTAAATGTATCGCAATAGGGCAGATTTATGGGGTTTTTTTTATTCTTTAACATAGTTGAATTTGTTTAACTTTCTGCTAGCTGTAAGTGTAGCTCACTCTTTGTAGTGCTGTGTTTAGGAATAGCTTGGGCATGTTGGCTGGGACAGATAATTGTCAGGGAGAGTTTTTCATATGTGTCTGGCCTTTTTCATACCACTGACTTATTCTAATCATTCCCCACCACAGTAATTAGTTGCAGAGTGAACATGTTCATTGGTTAACTCTTTTACAGTAGCTCTGTTTTAACATACGAATAAGGTCAATAGCTCAGGTATAAGTGCAGCAAAATAATTAATGACTGCTAATTAATTTATTATTATGACTTAATTTCTTCAAGTACATTTGTGTAAAATTTCTGTTAATTATAACTGAAGAATGAAGGAAGTTCAGATGTGGCAAAGCTTGTCAAAAGTCCATTTTAATTCTAGCTAATTTATGGAATCATTAGTAAATGATCTTAAAATTCATTTTGTATTTGGCAAGCGTTACAGGTTTGAGAGAAGAATACCAGGGTTTTGGGGGGGTGGCGGTTTGGACATAAATGTCTGAATCATGATTTTTAAGAATAAAACAAAATTTGATTGTAACTGAAACTGCAGCATTGTTGCTTGAGAAGCCCTTACAAAATAAAATTTATCTACCATTTTTAACACTTTCATAAATCTTAAAAAAATCTTAATAATAAAGTATGATTTTGCATAGCCATCTTTTTACATATTTTCTCAATTTTTTTTCTATCTTGTTTTACTTTTAGAATATTTTTACTTTTGTCATTAGAAATAATAACTTGTTATATGTGAGCTAGGTTCTGGATTAAGTATTCTAATAATTAAGCTTGCGTTCTGACTTCTCCTTTTACAAGTGCATAATCTCTGTTGTTCTAGAAGCAAAGAATCCAAACTTGTAAACTCTGATTAGTAATGGATCAGACACAACAAATACTAACTGGGAGACCTTTAAGTAAAAAGTGTAATACAGATATGGATGATTTTCTTTTATGGTTAATGGATGTTTGTTGTTTGCCTAACAATTTTCTCTTTTTCTACAGTCAATCAAGAAGAGTTCATTGCTATTATGACTGGAGATATTTAGCATGAGAAGAAAAGGAACAAACTCAGCACAAAAAGGGACGAATTGTTGGCAGCTCCCATCACAATGTTTTGTACTTGCATTCATGTCTGTAGCTGGAGTGATGCAGAGCATTGCTTTTCTCACATGACCAGAATAAAGACAGGTTATGTGCAGTGATAGTTCAGTATTTTGTATCATTACATATTATCACTAGAGTAATTGATAGGTCATGTTAGAACAGGTAAGTAATGCTGCATTTCAGAATGTTCAAGTACTCATTTGTAAAATAGGTTTTTATAGGAATTCTAAATAGTATCGTTTTATAAGAACATTTTGAGGTTGACTTTGTGTTAGCATTAGCTGTGGCCTTAGTTTTGATACATAAGGTTTGACGAACTTCCATTTTAATAAAATGTTATTTACTATTGCTGCTTGAAAGTGTTATTTTCTGTAGTTTAATCTGAACTGGACTATAATGTAAAGTTCTTCAGGGAAAATAGTTGGGTGGGGGGTTTTTTTGGTTTTGGGGTCGGGTTTTTTTCATTTATAGGCTTGTACTTCTGCTGTTCTTGATGAATGGTAACATCAAATGAGCAAGCATTTGCATCCTCAGAGATGCAATTTATTAACTCTGTATTACCCCTGGGTGATAGCAAAGGGCAGGCAATTATGCATGATGATAAACTGTATCAAAAATGTGCTTAAATTATCCAGATGTCAGCCACCAGCTCTCTCTTCAGTATCTACAGCTCTGATTCACAGAAACAGAGTCACAGAGCGGTAGGGAAGTGACTTCTGGAAGATCACCCAGTCCAACCCCCCTGCTAGAGCAGGATCACCTAGAGCAGGTTGCACAGGATGACATCCAGGCAGGCTTTGAATATCTCCAAAGAAGGAGACTCCACAACCTCTCCGGGCAGCCTGTTCCAGTGCTCGGTCACTCTCCTCAAGGTGAAGAAATTTTTCCTCATGTTGAGATGGAACTTCCTGTGTTCCAGTTTGTGCCCGTTGTCCTGTCACTGGGATCCATAGAGGAGAGTCTGGCCCCATCCTCTTGACACCCACCCTTTAGATATTGATAACATCCCCTCTCAGTCATCTCTGGGATAAAAAGGCTGATAGGTGTGGAGATAATGACAACTGTTTGTGATGAGTAGATGCTCTTTCTGCAGTATCTCATTAGAAGAAAAGCATCACAGGGAATGAACTTTTAAAATAGTTGAAGAGGCTGGATGTATTTCTAGTTTGCTGGGTGTCTTCCATAAGAGTTCTTGTGGGTTGATCTTCCTGTATATTAGTTGTAGTTTCTTTTTCAATTTCACTCTCCTTATATATCAAAACATGTAACTTTAAATCTTGGTTAATCCTGTGTTCATCTTTATTGTCAGAAAAGCAGCTGGTTTTTAACTGTCATTAATCCTGGGGTTATGAACAGGTTTGCCCTGCATAAACAATCAGAGCTTGGAATTATTGGAGACAGAAGTTAAGGTCATCAAAGTTAATAGGTTATTTTTTTCCTGTTATTTTTTCAAGTGTGTATTGTAACATCTGTGAAATAGTGTTGCTCTCTATTAAGCTATCAATACTAGTCCATTCATACGAAACTTATAACCATTCAAAATGACTATTAGTGGCTCCATGTAACTGATCAAGTATTATGAACAGATACCTCATGGAGAACCCCAGTTGGGTATGTGGCCATCAGCTGGGATTTCCATGCTTGGATGACTCTTTCAGAGAGACATCTTTCATATAGCCTTTGCTAGGAAAAGGCATTCTTCCTGTTAAGATATTTTCATTTTGATTTTTTTTTTCTAAAATTAATCTTGAAAACATAATGGGGAACAATGGTAGGGATAAAAATATGAAATTTGTAGGAGCGAAGGAGTAATTGCTATTTGCCAGGAATTTGTAGTCTTCTTAATGTTCATTTAATGTCTTAGTCTTAAAGTTTGAGTAAAACTTCCTCTGTGCTATATCAGAGATGGGTTTTATAAGCAGGTTTTTGCTCAAAAAGTAAACAGCATGAAATATTTGCAGGATGAAGTTTGGTGTTTACGGGGAAAAATTCTTCTATATGTAGTATTGATGTACTTTACTTCTTTTATATTAATTTCAGTAAAATAGTTGGGAAAGAAGAAAAATAAGAGTTGGAGGATCCGACCATGCAAGTGAGAATCTTGCTCGGGAATAAATATAGCAAAGTGGTTATGAATCAAGTAAAGTACTTTAGAATCCAATGGCAAAAAAACCCACATAAAATGTAGAAAATTTTTTTTAAATGGTAGGGTGTTTAAAATAACACAAAAAAACAATCCAACTTTTAACCAGTATTTTTCAATCTGTGGTGGGTTGACCCTGGCTGAGGGC